CAATAGGGCAGCTCTCATTCTGGTGTCCTTGCACCACAGAGCTGGGGCGAGCTCCGCACGCAGTTGCAGGACGGTGGTTTTCTGCATCCGAAAGCTCTGTAGCCACTGCTCATCCTCCCACACCTGCATGACGATACAATCCCACCATTCAGTGCTTGTTTCCCAAGCCCAAAAGCAACATCTGTCCCATGCAGCTGTTTTGTGAATGCCAAAAGCAATCTAAAGTTGCTCCTATCCATATCATGCAGCGTGTTGAGCAACTGGGAGTCTTCTTCAATTAGGAACTTCATGATTAATTGCACTGCTATCCACGATGTCTTCATGACAGTTATCAGATCATAGGAGAGCGGAGTGGAATCCATCTCTTCTCACAAAGGTGCACAGCAAAGAAGGACCATTGAAAAATGCCATGAAAGATAGCTAGAAGCCCATGGAGTGCTGGGACAGAAAGCAATGCATCATGGGACATTGAGCCCGGTCCCAAGATGCACCGCAATCTACTCCGCCTTCCCACAACACCAAGCGACAGAAGATGTCGACCTGGACTGTGGGATAGGTACCCGCTCTGCCAAAAGAGGGAGCGAGTGTAAACATGACATTCCTGTGACGTTGCACCCCATAATGCTTTATGGAAATATGCTTATGGATGTATATATGACATAACTGGAATATGTCTTATGCTACATTTGCCATGTAACATATCTCTGTAAACATACATATGATCTACTGAATATATTCATCCTACTTGTATGCATGTATCACTTTTGTATTCAAAGTTATGAATGTTGACTGTGTACTTGTTTGATTTTAAGTAGCCCTAGTAAGACATTTGGTCAGCTTCTTAAGAACTGAATTTGCAAGTTAAGTGCCCAATCAAGAAACACTTAATGAACAATGGAACCTTGGAAGACTCCAATCCACATAAGACGTCTACCTGGGGACATTCAAGGTAGCATGTGAACAATGACTGCCACCTGTAAAGTTCTGAGTCATGCATAGAAATGTGACTTGCCGATGTGACTCCAAAACTCCAGCTTGCAGCTGGATTCTGCATAGGAGAGAAGAGGGGGTCTCCACCCACAAGAGAAAGTTTATTTAAGCCCCTGGGAGACCCCTCCATTTTGTCTTCAGCTGGTTCCAGAGATAGCCTCTCCACTCCCAAAGGATACCCGAAAGAAACTGGATAAAGGACAGTAACCACAGGGGTGTGAGTGATTGCTGGACTCAGACTAGAAGGAGAGATTTCATCTGTAATCACTTACTTACCATATTAAGTTTAGACTTGGGTGTTTTATTTTATTTTGCTTCGTAATTCACTTTGTTCTGTCTTTTATTACTTGGAACCACTTAAATCCCACTTTTTGTATTTAATAACATCACTTTTTACTTATTAATTAACCCAGAGTATGTATTAATACCTTGGGGGGAGGGCAAACAGCTTTGCATATTTCTCTGTCAGTGTTATAGAGGGTGAACAGTTTATGAGTTTGCCCTGCTTAAGCTTTACACAGGGTTGTCAAGGTTCCTTCCCCACTCTGAACTCTAGGGTACAGATGTGGGGACCTGCATGAAAACCCCCTAAGCTTACTTTTACCAGCTTAGGTTAAAACTTCCCCATGGTACAAACTATTTTACCTTTTGCCCTTGGACTTTATCACTGCCACCACCAAAGGTCTAACCGGTATATTACTGGGAAAGAGTCCATTTGGAAACATCTTTCCCCCCAAAATCCTCCCAAACCTTACACCCCCTTTCCTGGGGAAGGTTTGATAAAAATCCTCACCAATTTGCATAGGTGAACACAGACCCAAACCCTTGGATCTTAAGAACAATGAAAAAGCATTCAGATTCTTAAAAGAAGAATTTTAATAGAAGAAAAAGTAAAAAGAATCACCTCTGTAAAATCAGGATGCTAAGTACCTTACAGGGTAATCAGATTCAAAACATAGAGAACCCCTCTAGGCAAAACCTTAAGTTACAAAGAGACACAAAACCAGGAATATCACAGGGCCTAATAACATCAGCCACACTATCAGAGGCTCGTTCACCTGCACATCCACCAATGTGATATATGCCATCATGTGCCAGCAATGCCCCTCTGCCATGTACATTGGTCAAACTGGACAGTCTCTACGTAAAAGAATAAATGGACACAAATCAGATGTCAAGAATTATAACATTCATAAACCAGTCGGAGAACACTTCAATCTCTCTGGTCACGCAATCACAGACATGAAGGTCGCTATCTTAAAACAAAAAAACTTCAAATCCAGACTCCAGCGAGAAACTGCTGAATTGGAATTCATTTGCAAATTGGATACTATTAATTTAGGCTTAAATAGAGACTGGGAGTGGCTAAGTCATTATGCAAGGTAGCCTGTTTCCTCTTGTTTTTTCCTACCCCCCCCCCCCCCCCCAGATGTTCTGGTTTAACTTGGATTTAAACTTGGAGAGTGGTCAGTTTAGATGAGCTATTACCAGCAGGAGAGTGAGTTTGTGTGTGTATGGGGGTGGGGGGGATGTGAGAAAACCTGGATCTATGCAGGAAATAGCCCGACTTGATTATGTAAAGAGTTGTCACTTTGGATGGGCTAGCACCAGCAGGAGAGTGAATTTGTGTGGGGGGGTGGAGGGTGAGAAAACCTGGATTTGTGCTGGAAATGGCCCACCTGTTGATCACTTTAGATAAGCTATTACCAGCAGGACAGTGGGGTGGGAGGAGGTATTGTTTCATATTCTCTGTGTGTATATAAAGTCTGCTGCAGTTTCCACAGTATATATCTGATGAAGTGAGCTGTAGCTCACGAAAGCTCATGCTCAAATAAATTGGTTAAGTCTCTAAGGTGCCACAAGTACTCCTTTTCTTTTTGCGAATACAGACTAACACGGCTGTTCCTCTGAAACCTGTCATTCCATTCTGCACAGCTTATTTTCTCAGCCATTTAAAGAAATCAGAATCTAACGCATATCTAGCTAGATTACTTACTAAGTTCTAAGACTCCATTCCTGTTCTGTCCCCGGCAAAAGCATCACACTGACTGAGAGAGAGAGGCTTTGTTTCTCCCTCCCCCCAGCTTTTGAAAGTATCTTGTCTCTTCATTGGTCATTTTGGTCAGGTGCCAGCGAGGTTATCCTAGCTTCTTAACCCTTTACAGGTGAAAGGGTTTTTCCTCTGGCCAGGAGGGATTTTAAAGGTGTTTACCCTTCCCTTTATATTTATGACAAGGGTAAACAAATTTATTTGGGGTTTGGACCACATTGGGAGCTGGGTACCTGAGTCCTGGAGACAGGAACACTTCTTAAGCTGTTTTCAGTTAAGCCTGCAGCGTTTGGGGGATGTGGTTCAGACCTGGGTAGTCTCAGCACATCACTTGGCAGTTCCTAAGGGGATTTTTTGTGATCCAAGCCATCACAATTCTGATTTTTATTATGCCGATTTTTGAGTGTCGACATCACTTTTGTCAACCAAACTTGGTAGTGTAGACAAGGCCTGAGTCAGAGTTCCAGCTTTTCAGCTGGGATCCTGCACAAGGGGGGCTGATCAGGTGCTATTTCCCCCAATCTATTACCAGAGCAGAACCTTGCCTTCAATTCTGAAGTGGAGACAAGGAGACTAAAAGTAGGGAAATTCAGTTGCTAAGTAAACACAATACCTAGTACATTGTTGTGCCTAGCAAATAAATACACGCAGTTAAATTCCACCCTCATTTACACCCTTGAGAAATTGACTCACAATTTTTTTAATCCCAAATTGGAGTTTACCTAGCAAGGGCTGACTATTTCAAGTGCCCTTATTGTTGAGAGCCACACTTCCAAGTAGCCACACACATTTTACACAAATTTAAATAAAAAATGACTCCCAGGCTCAAAATTTCTTCTCAAGACTCAGGCTTTAGCAACATTGTTACAGCACAGTTCAAAAAACAGGTCCGTGTACTTTACAGGATATTTTAACATTTAGATTAGGCTGAGGAGTTGCTCATAACTTTAAGAGAGGTCATTAATATCCCATATATCTGAATTACAGGAAAAATTACAAGTTAAAAAGGAAAAAGTTTACCAAAAGAGCAGATGAGTGTAAGACAGAAATAAGTTGTCAATCCACAGCACAGAGAGCTACCAAAACTGGTTTTTCAGGACATGGGTGGAGAAGATTCTGTTTTGAAAGAAATTAAGCTTTGAAATTGTAACTAGTAGAAAAATCACCCTACAAGGTCAGAACACTGAGTTTTATGCACCTTGTTTTCACTAAGAAATATATGAAAGATGAATTTTAAAATTTTGCATACAGTGCAGCAGGGGTTTTTTTTCAACTGTATAACTTTTACTGCAACCTGAATATCTCTGAAATATTTTCAGTGAAGAAACTAAATGCCTTGTTATCCATAAGCATATGTTTCATTTCATGATGCACTAAAATGACTGTCTTGTATCTAAACAGCTATTTTACTACTTTATACACACTTTGCAAGTGTGTTAGTATCTTCTAGATACTTTACTGATAATTTACCCCTAAAAGGCTAACTATTGATAGTGTTTTCAGCATTTACCATAAGTTCAAGTAAAATGAGATCTGTTTATTTTATCACCTCTATTTCCTGTGATATTTTCATTTTAAAGAAGAAATGCCATAGAAATTATAAAGAAGCATCAAAACAAAGGGGAAATACCAGTAAAACACCTCTCATTGAAAGCTGGGTGAGCAGCCAGTTTGTCAATTGAGAAATAAAAAATATAATTAAATAAAATCAGTCACAAACGCAAGATAACAAATGATAATATATAATGCACACACTGTGGCCAAGATTTCTAAAAGTGTGCAGTGATTTTGGGTTTCCAGCTTGAGACACCATAAAGTTGCTTGACTTTCACAGGGCGTGCAGTCCTTTCTGAAAAATCAGGCCCCTTTAAGGGGCACAAACTGGGCATCCTAAATTACTGCACACTTCTTAAAATCTTGCACTTTAAACATATGGTATATTTTAAAAAGTAAAGCTTACCACTATATGATAAATAAGTCCTCTGTAGCTGGCCCACTCCAGTGATTGTCTTGGTGGTCACCTGGAACTGATGTGTAGTTAAAGTTCACAGAGAGCAGTATCACACTCCATCTGACTGTCTGAAAGGCTCAGAGGTTTCTCCTTCAGAGGCTGAGTCACTTATGGAGGAGGTGGGAGGTGTGGAAAAGGGTGTCACCCAGTACAAATACTAATTCAATTAAAAATACCTGTGAGATTACTATAGTCCTGTACTTCTGTATTCTTTACATAAAGCAGGGCTGGGTTCACAAAGTAAAAATGCTTTCATGGACCCAGAAATAGCCCACAGGCTGTTGATACCTATACTATACATGATTTAGTCTGGATTCTCCACGCAAATAAAAGCTCACTGGGCATTGGACCTGCCTCTCAAATAGAGGTTTTAATGAATGTAATACACATATTTACATGCAAAAAGTATGTGAGGAAGCACCGTCTTTCATAAAGGAAAGGTCTCCAGAAGTGTTATGCGAGGAATGTACACTGGAATCTGACACCCATTAAATAGCTGTCTCATTTTGTTATGTTAGAAGAGAAAAACCACCAGCCAAGAAAAAAAAATCTCACGGCAGAACCTGTTGCAAATCCCTGCCATTTGTGTTTCATTTTATTACTGCTAATATTAACAGGGCAAAGGCAAAAGATTGCCTCCATTTTCCTCTGCTGTTGCAATTCATTACTCTGTACGTTAAGAAGAGGCTCTATCCATGAGCAAGGGACAAAGGAACACAGGATTCTATAGCACTGAAACGGCCATGCTCAAGATCTAGGGGCAACAAAAAGTGCATATTAAACAGGCCCACACTGGTTCTATAATTTGGGGACATTTTTATAGTAACAAATGTAAGACCGGATCTTGCAAGCTGACTTCACTGGGAGTTGACATTGCTCAGCCCCCCATAAGATCAGGTGTGTAGATGTATTAACATAGCAAATGTGCCTTTAGAGCAAAATTTTGTAACCTCTGTTCTTGGTAAAGGGTACTTCATGTCAGAAAAGTAAGCTCCGTACTTTGCTGAATGAAGATATATTCTGCACATGTCTTATATTTTACAAAACACAGTTGATTAAAATAATTCTGCCAGCGGGGCAGCTCTTGAAAAGTAAAAGTAGTATATAAGTTGCCAACCACCACAGACTTCAGAATTAATTAATGGAAGCTAATGGGCCTTTCTATACCTCTGAATTACCTGGTTTCTAGAGGTGAAATATTTACAGGAGATAGGGCATGTTCAGGGAAACTATTCAGTATGTTTATCTTTTCAATATCAAACAAACTGCTGAGTGAATCCATCCTTCTAAATAAATGTTAGATATGAGGAAAACCTTTGGGCTTGGCTACACTTGCGAGTTGGGGTGCATTAAAGGAGCCCCAGGCGCACTAGCTCACTACCCGTCCACACTGGCAAGGCACGTAGAGCACTCTGACTCTGCAGCTAGAGTGCTCCTGGTACTCCACCTCGGCGAGTGGAATAAGGTTTTGTGCGCCCCCACTGAAGCGCCGCGGTGCCAGTGTGGACTCCCTGATCTGCTAGTGCGCTCTGACCGGCCTCCAGAAGTGTCCCACAATGCCTGTTCTAGCCACTCTGGTCATCACTTTGAACTCTACTGCCCTGCCCTCAGGTGACCAACCGTCACACCCACCTTTTAAATTTTCTGGTAATTTTGAAAATCTCCTTCCTGTTTGCTCAGCCAGGCATGGAATGCTCTCAGCGAATCTTTCCAGGTGTCCATGCCTCCACGCGCCAGCCGATCCCCAGTATGGAGCAATGGTGAGGTGCTGGACCTCATCAGTGTTTGGCGGTAGGAAGCTGTCCAGTCCCAGCCACGCTCCAGCCATAGGAATTACGATACCTTCGGGCAGATATCAAGGGACAGGCTGGAAAGGGGCCATGACCGGGACGCATTGCAGTGCAGGGTTAAAGTGAAGGAGCTGTGGAATGCCTACCGCAAAGCCCATGAGGCAAAAAGCTGCTCTGGTGCTGCCCCGGAGACCTGCAGTTTCTACAAAGAGCTGGTTGCAATACTTGGGAGCGAACCCACCTCCACTCCGAGTACCACCATGGACACTTCAAAGCCCAGTCCAACAAGGAGGGAGGAGGGGGAGGAGGAGCAAAGTGAGAGCAAGGGTGCTGAGCTGGAGGAAGACACGCCGGAAACCCTAGATGCGTGCAGCCAGGAGCTGTTCTCAAGCCAGGAGGAAGGTAGCCAGTCGCGGCAGCTTTGGGGAAGGACAAATACCAGAGCAGGTTCCCGATAAGGGGCTTTTATTTTGGGAAGGAAGTTATTTGGTGCGGGCTCTTGGGGCGAGGAGGGTTAGGGCTGCATGCATGCCTAGATGTGGAATAGCGCGTTGATGTGCTCTCTCACATTGCAGCAATTGGCCTCAGTGATCTCTTCAAAGATCTCATCCAGAACTTGGGCAATGCGCTTGCACAGGTTTCTCGGGAGAGCCACTGTAGTCCTTGTCCCAGTAAGGCTAACTTGTCCGCACCACTGTGCTGTGAGGGGTGGGGAGACCATTGCTGCACACAGGCAAGCTGCATATGGGCCAAGGCGGAATCCACATTGCAGTAGAAGACCCTCCCTTACTTCCCAGGTCACTCTCAGCAGCAAGATATCTTCCAGGACGAACTCCTGTGGAAAATGTGGGGACAGTGTTCAGTATAGGGGGTCCCCTGCCGCTGTTGGCTCTCCCCAAGGCACAGAAACCCAGAGGACAGCACAGCCGTGAAACAGTCAGTCACGCTTGACCCTGTGCTTACTCACCATTTTGGGGCTCCTGTGGGTTATGTGCGCTCGCTTTGGGATGGGCAAATTATGCTGTTGTGTAGACTGTACTTGCCCTTAAGTATGGGGGAATCATTGCTCTGTCTGGTGTGAACAATGCTGCCTTTGTTAAGTGTTGCATTTTGCCTTTACAGATGCAACCTTGAGATTGCAGCCATCTGTGTTATCACTGGCCAAAAGACTCCAAAGAATCAGAAAGAGGCCACGTAGAAGCAAGGAAGACATGTTGCATGAAGTAATGCAGCATTCAAGTAATGAAAATCAAAAAGTGCAGGAGTGGAGGGAGAGTAAAAGGAGGATCCGCCAGCAGAATGAGGCGCACTGGCACAAAAGCACAATGCTCTGGCAGCAAAGCACGGCTCGGCTGATAAGCATAATGGAGCGCCAAGCGGACTCTATCCAGGCACTCGTAGCCATGCAGGCGGAGCACTACCGCGCCTGCCCTCCCCGCAGCCCTTGTCCCAAAACTCTTTCCCTTGCACTCCCATGTCACCTCCAAACCACTTTCCCCAACATCCGGGTTCTTACCACCACCAGCTGCCTCCAACACCTGTAGCTTCACCACCCAGCCCTGAAAACCACGACCCTTACCCACTGCACTCAACCCCCATCACGATGCTGTATAGCCATCCTGAAATGCAGCACTCATTGCACAGCACTCCAGACAGGAGGGCTGAGTATGATAACAGGACATACACAAATCTGTGATTGTATCGTTCCCCACCCCACCCCCTTGCCCTTTCTGTTTCCCAAGGAGTTGTGTTTCTTTTCAATAAATGAATTTTCTTTTCAATAACTGGATTTTTGGCTTTAAAAACATTCTTTATTATTGCATAAAGTAAAAGATACCTTAGCCCAGGTACTGCAAGTCAGCGTAGCAAACACAGATTCCTACTAACATTGGAATCACTGCACTTCACTCCTGTGCAGGGCACCAGACATTTCAGTCTCAAATTGTTCCCTCAAGGCATCCCTAATCCTTGCAGCCCCGCGCTGGGCCCCTCTAAGAGCCCTGCTCTCTGGATGTTCAAATTCAGCCTCCAGGTGTTGAACCTCCGAGTTCCATGCCTGAGTGAATTGTTCACCCTTCCCTTCACAAATGTTATGGAGGGTACAGCATGCAGATATAACAGCAGAGGTGCTGTCATCGGTCAGGTCCAGCTTCCCATACAGAGAGCGCCAGCAGCCCTTTAAGTGGCCAAAAGCACACTCCACAGTCATTCTGCACCGGCTCAGCCTGTTGCTGAACTGCTCCTTGCTGCTGTCAAGGCTCCCTGTGTAGGGTTTCATGAGCCACAGCATTAAAGGGTAAGCGTGGTCTCCAAGGATCACAATGGGCATTTCGACTTCCCCTACGGTGATCTTCTGGACTGGGAAAAAAGTCCTGGCTTGCAGCTTCCTGAACAGGCCCATGTTCCAAAAGATGCGTGAGTCATGCACCTTTCTGGGCCAGCCTGCATTAATGTCAATGAAACGCCCACGGCGATCCACAAGCACCTGGAGAACCATAGAGAAATACCCCTTCTGATTAACGTACTCGGAGGCTATGTGGACTGGTGCCAGAATTGGAATACATGTGCCATGTATTGCCCCTCCACAGTTAGGGAAACCCATTTGTGCAAAGCCAGCCACAATGTCATGCACTTTACCCAGAGTCATGGTTCTTCTGAGCAGGATAAGATTAATGGCCCTGCAAACTTGCATCAACACGATTCCAGCGGTCGACTTTCCCACTCCAAACTGATTAGCGACCAATCGGTAGCTGTCTGGAGTTGCTAGTTTCCAGATTGCAATAGCCACCTGCTTCTCCACCATCAGGGCAGCTCTCAATCTCATGTCCTTGCGCCACAGGGTGGGGACGAGCTCCTCACACAGTCCCATGAAAGTGGCTTTTCTCATCCGAAAGTTCTGCAGCCACTGCTCGTCTTCCCAGACTTGCAGAACGATGTGATCCCACCACTCGGTGCTTGTTTCCCAAGCCCAAAAGCACCGTTCCATGGTGGTGAGCATGTCCGTGAATGCCACAAGCAAACTTGTGTCATATGCGATACTCGAGTCGATATCATCGTCAGAGCCCTCACTGTCACTTTGGATCTTAAGGAATAACTTGACTGCCAAATGTGACATGCTGGTGAGACTCGTCAGCATACTCCTCAGTAATTCAGGCTCCATTCCCGCAGACCGAAAGGGCAGACAGAGCGCACAGTACAAAAAACGTTGAAAGATGGCACCAAATTTGGATGGAGACACAGAGACTGCTGGGATGCGAACCGATGCATCATGGAGTGTTGGGACGGGACCCAGAA